TTTAGTGTTGGGGTCTGTAACGGAATGAAAAACAATATCACAAATGCAGTTTCATGATGAACTACTGTTTATGAACACTGCCTCCTGATCTGCTGGTTTCACCTCAGTGTTTCATTTGCTTCACGTCACTTTAAAAACATTTTCTAGAAGTTTTACTGAGTGAGACCTCTCAGTATTATTTATCATGAAGATGTCCAAATTCGTTTTTTAATGGTGGTATGGAGTTTAGTTTTATTGATTTTTCTTGGAATGTATTGCCTGTAACTTTAGAACTTAGTGGATCTTAGCTGCTCTTGAATGCATCTCTGAGGATCAGGTGTAGCTGCTTTCCTTGCTGATTGCTGATTGTGGGACATGTCCTTTAAAAGCAGAACTCACCGACGCTCTGATGAAGGTGCTGCATCACAACGCATCAGCAGCACCTTGTAAATAAAATCACCAGAAAGTCATTACAACTGTATCAATGTTTTTTGGGTGCTGCCCTTCTTTTCCTCATTCAGATTAAGGGGGACAAACACGCTTTTACTGAAAAGAAGAGAACTTGGGTTGGAACAAGGCACAATCTAGTCACACCATCAATATTTAAGCAGCAGTGTGGCTGCACCATGTTAATCTTATGCAGCTTAGTAAAGTTGACTCAAGTCAAGTGTTTGGGTGGAGATGCAGCTGTGTTCACAGACCAGACACAGTTATTTAGTTCAGGTGGATTGAAGCTCAGTGGCTATAGTTTTTAATGCTGGGCATAATGATCCTTAGAGCACCTATCTTACAGGTTTCAGGCCTAGGTAAATTAGTGACACCAATGGGTGCTCCAGGTAACAAGTAATAATAATAATCCTAGAGTTCTTATTCAGCATCTACTTTTGCTGCCTTCAGATAGAAGTCATGAGCTTGTAGTGAAGGACGTTTTGTGCGTTCACATGGTTTCCAAATAATGTGAAAAATGAGTTCCTAACTGGTAAAACATCATCTCAAGTCAGAACAACTCAGAACTTAAACCAATGAATATTAGATTAGATTTTCCTTTATTGTCCCTCAGTGGGGAAATTCACATATAATCAGCTGTAAACAGTAGTTCAATCAGGAGAGACTTCGATTCACTCAAAAATAGTTAAGCCTTAAACATCGACTCTATACATTAAATAACTTAGTCAGATTAAATTAAATTAAGATAAACTTCTACAATAACCTTACTTCTTTATTCAGTTTTTACATATAAAGCTATGGGTAATTGCTACATTAACATAATGTGTTTATTCAAATATTATGCATAAAAGCAATTCATTTCAAATTGGTTATTCCATCTCCTGTAATGGATCACAAAGCAACACATACAAGCACAGTTAAGCAAACTTTATTGCCAGATCCATTTAAATACAAACATGCCAATAGTAAAAACATAAAAATGAATACATTTTGAATGCATTTGTCCCATCAGCAATTCAAAAGACAAGGGATACATCACCAAGACCTGCAAATGCCAAGACACCTGAGTAATGGCAAAATTAAACACGTTACCCAAACTACAAAGTGCACAAGGTTTTTCATTGCACAGTTAACCCAACATTACTTACAATGGAAAGCACTGTGAAATCAAAGTGCTTTCCACTGTATTCAGCAACATAAATGGATTTTTATCTTTATCTGACCAACATGAAAAATGGAAATGTTTAAAATTCAACAACTCACAACTTTTAGGAACATCAATTCCAAGGACACACTCTTAATAGCACCATTATGAGAGAGGCCAGTGTGAGCTAGTTGGCCCATGTGTTCAAAGTTGCACAATAAAGGTGAGGCATGGCAACATGAGGGTTTAGGGTGTGAAATAACAGCAATGGTGACAATCTCATGGACAGATGACAAGATCTGTTCACATCCTAGATAACTGTCCTCCTAACTCAATCTGGCTAAGCCCTTGGAGAGGCAACACGCAGCAGCTCCAGGTGCTGGAGGAGGGTGGAGGTGAGATAAGAGAACAAGTCCACATATATAACGAGCTCTGCACACACCAATATTGAGCTTGTGTAATATAAAACCATCTTGGATCAAATGGAAATGACATTGCATAAAGGCATCTCCATTCCTGTGTTCTATGACTTGACAGTCCAAGAAGGCAATGGTCTTTATATTATGAAGAGGGGCCACAGCGAGTTCAGCAATTTCATTTAAGTCAAACAACACAAGCTGAGCTGGCTCTGCCTTTAGTCTCCAATTATAAATGAGAGCAACCTCAATAAATTCCAATTTCCATGGGAGTTACCTCAGATGGTCCCTTTAGAGGCCTATGTCTGTGGCGTAATATGAGGTTTATTAGTTCTATCCCCCCTCTTACATGGAAAGTTCAGGATTCATTCATTGACAGTGTTAAGAGACAGAAACTTTTTGGAAGTGAATACACCAATGCATAGAGCAATCCCAACTGGAATAACACCCTCAAATATGTCATGAACAATTTCAGGAGGGAAGCCCTTAGTAACATGAAAATACATTCTTTGTAAAAACACACTCTCTCTTCACTCCACAACAGATGGTTGAGTTCTCCCTTGCAAATATAATGCAGGTCTCAGGTATGTGTTTTGTTCGGAGATTAGAATTACCTTAACAGTCTCAGCCTGAATGTAGGATCTCTTGACTTTCAATGAAGCCTGCTATCCCATGAGCTCCTTTCACAAACTCTCCAAGACCTGAAATGAAAATACCATGCTTCTCTAAAATGACCAAATCCTGTAAAAATGGCTCTTTGTTCATACCCATACACCTTTACATCAGTAGCCTTGCATAATAAAGCCAAGTAGATGGAAGAAAGAGCTGAACGTCGTCCAGCTGGCAAAATATTCAAGATCCAGTACACACCACAAAGTTTACCAGTTTATCTGGATGTGCCTAAGGGATTGCAAACCTCAAAGTCGATGCTGATAATTTCAAATCCTCCCCTTTAAAACATTTTCGATTTTTACTGCACTACACCTGAGGTATTTTCCTGTGTCTTGTGAGTATGGATTACACTTTCTGATGTTTCTTTGACTTAACAGAAGCAGAAAAGGCAAGATAGGGATATACTGAAATGTCCAATTGGTCTTAAGATCAAAGATGTACTCATCTGGGTTCCCCACAATGAAATGTTCTTTATAATACCTTTTCCTTTAGTGAGCTGTAGCCAGGGGGCCATCTTTTGCAAAGGCTTTGGCCAAAGGATTGGATATGCACACTAGTTGAGCAAGCTCTTTGACAATTGACTCATCAACTTGAACACTGTTGTTTTTAAGAATGCTAGACAGTTTGTTAAAGATGATTGGAACAGATGGGGAGCTTAACAAAAAGTGTAATTAGTACAGTCATTCATCAATAGCTGTGGCCGGCACAAACACAATATGTTCAAACATCAATATAACCAGGTCGATGTTCTGCTCAATAACGTTGGGAAGATCGTCACTACTGGAATAACTATGTGCGTCTACATCAGTTTCAGATTCTGATCGGTATCTGCAGCACAAGAAGCAACTTTGTCAACAACAGAACTGTCTGATTCTTTTAACCCAGCAACCACAGGGACAACCTCCGCTTTAAAATCAAGTATGGGGATTATGTCTCCTGTTTTGATGGGTATGAAATGTATTGCAGATGTTAGTTTTAAACACACAACCTTTAAACATGCATGTTACAGTTCCATGTCTCCATAAATGTACGTGTACATGACTGAAGTGCTCTCGTTCATTTGAAAGCTCATTACATGTACACAATTTGCATGAGAAATGTAGATAATAATCCATAATCTAAATGTGCGAGGACAAGTATAGTACGGGCAAGGATGCCTGAACCTTCTGATTTCCCACACACCTTACATTCCCACACGCCCATTCAAATCTTCTACCTAGAAAAGCAAAAAAAAATAACTTAGCTAACATGTTTGCAGAAAACTATGGCTTAGTTAATGTAGACCTTATCAATGCAATAACCTGCACTCACCTAAATTGAAAGGTTGCCTATACATAATGCCAAGATTTGTGCTACTTTATTGATTTGGTCCGATGATGCTGTACCTGAAAGTAATGGAAAATATTACAAGGTTAGTTCCAGACCAGAATGAGAAATTGCCAGCTGCAGAGGTGTGTGTGTGTGTGTGTGTGTGTGTACGCACACAAATGGTGGCCCTAAGTTAACATTAAATACATTTTATCTAAATATTTTAAGGCCACCGTTGTCTGGATGTAGTTTGACTGACATGCCCGCACTACAACGAGCCAGTGAGTGAAGTGGTGTAGCTAACTTAGGGCCTAACCATCAACGTTGCCGAAGTGTGTCCGCCCGCCGTTTTCTGGACCAGTAGTAAAACTTCTGTTCAGGAAGCTGTGAGATTGAATGAAAAATAAATAAAACTGTAGTGCTGGAGTACCGTGCAACGATTCATTCCTCAATAGTTTTTTTCATTAATGGCGTTTTTACAGTAGGAAAACCACAACCGTAAATTTAAAGAATAATGTTTGCTGCATTCCATTCAGCTGCTTCAGTCTCAGGGTCCTGGTATTGTGAATGCACATCATGTCACACATCATGACTTGCTGTTTTACAATATTGCTGCCTGTGTGCCGGTCTGTCCCATTCATGTGAACACAATATCTTGAGAATTCTTCTAGGGGATCCTTTCAAATTTGGTACCAACATTCACTTCGATTCATGGATGAAGTGATTCGAATTTGGTCAAAGGTCAAGTCTACTGTGATCTCAAAACAAGTTTTTGATCTTGTGAACGCAACATCTCAGAAACATCTTTAGTGACATTCTTAAAATTTGGAACAAACGTTCATTTGGACTCAAAGATGAGTTGACTAGATTTAAGTGGTCAAACGTCACAGTGACCATATATGAGCCTGATTAAAATAATATTTGTCGACTGAATCTTTGCTGGTTGGTGGAGGCAAACAACCACAGGATGGTAATTCTGGTCCGTCATTTGATTTTGTTGTTGCAATTTCTAACTCACGACTTAACTTTATTAGGTGACCAAGATGCTGGCTGTGGTAGTGATCCTCTTCGCCTTGCTGTGGATGCCCTACCGGACCTTGGTGGTGGTCAACTCCTTCCTGGACAAGGCCTACCTGGACACCTGGTTCCTGCTCTTCTGTCGTCTCTGCATCTACTTAAACAGTGCCATCAACCCGGTCATCTACAATGCCATGTCCCAGAAATTCCGCACTGCTTTCAAGAAGCTGTGTCACTGCGGCCCCCAGCGCATGGAGAAACCAGCCTCTTACAGTGTGGCACTCACCTACAGTGTCATCAAGGAGACGTCCAATGGTGAAAGTCCCGACCACTTCACTACAGAAATGGACGAGATCAACACACCAGCAGATCAGTACCTACCCACCAAGAGGATAACGTATGAGGAGCCTTCCCTGTCTGGAAGTGATGTCAAAGTATGAATAAAACCAAACACGCTTCACAGATCAGCAGATATCAGAGACTGACAGCTGCAGTATGGATTCAGTCACCCAGTGGACAGTCCAGTCAGTTCTAATTTCTCTGAGGTGTTTTCTCTCTGAAATGTTTCTTGTAATTGACAAGCCCATTTACCAGATGCAAGATGGGATGGAGAAAAATGAGCTGCCTTGTAGATTTTTAGTATTCTTTACAGAATCACTAAAATTAGTTATCATGAGCTGTTTGGTACATCTGCACAGCACTGAAGAGTAGAAAACACCTTTTTAATGTAAAGTAGCTGGAAAGTGGGAAACATGTTATTGGAGAGTGTGATGCACCAAACCCTTATAGTAAATGATGTAATGCAGAAACATGTTTTGTATAAACATTAACCCAAACAGAAAAAAACTTTATCATCACAAATTGGTTTGGTTAAAGCAGACTTCCTCCACATTTACAGTAGCAGACTCTTACACCAATGGATATTTTAGGGGTGGGTGTGTCAATATTTATTATTAATATAAGTTTACTTAATCATATTCTGTTCAGCTAGAATCTTCTATGTAGGAAGAAGAAAAATGAAATTAAGAACATAGTGTGGTTTGTTGCACATGTGTTTTCTGAATATGATGGTAATGGGGATAGGTGTAGCCAAAGTACCTCCACACCACACGCCTTTCTACCTCGTTTATTCCCAACCGCTCTTTTAGGTTGCTGGAAGTGTTGAGCTTTTATTTTCTCTGCGCGAACACAGTTTGCGCGAACACTCAACCATTTAGGGAAGGTTGGGGGCAGTAACACAAAACACTTTGCAGTAACTTGATTAATTTGTTCATTTAAAAGTAGGGATTATAATTTCAAATTCTAAGGAATTGTATTTGTCACTAACTGTCTTAGTTGGGGAGGCAGTTAGGAAGACAGTGCTCTTCTCAGTGACTAACAGTAGTTTCAATACATCCCTTTATTAGCTACTTTGCTAATGTCATCAACTGGGTAAGGCTACATTCAGGTATCAGTTAAGGACATTTCACTCTAATTTTATCGCATTGAGTAACTAATTCAAACCAAACTTACCTACATATATCAGTGTGATAAGAAGCACCTGAAATGATAGAAAACATTTTTGGCACATATTTGGCACATATCCACTAACGTGGAGGAGACAGGATTTATGCAGCCAGCAGTGAACCATGGAGCAGTCATGCTGTCCGTCTTTGCATAAAGTCTATGTTTTAAACCCTGCAGCTCCCTTATGAGTACAGGACTTTCACGCGGTAACGGTAGTGGATTTTAAGCTATCTGTTGATTGTGATTAAATACGGGCTTTTTGGCAAAGCACAATATCTTATTTTTTTATTTATTTGAACTTTTAATTGTTTTCTTTCTCTGCACTTGGTATATACATATAATGTATTGTATGTGTGTGTGTATTATGTAACTCACTAAATTTTCTTTAGAGTAATCACTAAAGAAATAATTTTTGACTAATATGTTTTGTGTAAATGATTAACCCCACTGAATATGACATTGTCTCCGTGTTGGGTTGTTGACCAGCAATGCAAGTAATTACCAGTACATCAGTGTCTAATGTTTTTAATCGTGGAAATGTTCTTTTCTGATCAGTGTTTATGTTGTTTCCATCACCCAGCCCTAGGATAGTCTTGTACCAACAGTACCAGTGCTTAACAGATTGCATGTAGCAAACAGATGTCCTCTTTGTTCATGTACCTCCCCAACAGAAGCCATGTAATCCAAGTGAATCGAAATGCTCAACACCGTGACATTTTAATCTTGCTACTAGAGAGAAAAGCACTGACATGGAATTACATGACCTTTCAAAAAGGTCAGAGCAAAGAAAGGGATGGAGATCATAGATACATGAACCTGCTGTGTTGATTTTAAATTGTTTAAAATGTTTTTATTTTTGAGAAAAAAAAAACCCATATGTTTGCTTTGGTCTCTCTGAAGCGCCCACTGTGGACTCTCTGATGAGCCGGTGAAGAAAACGTGACCAATGTATAATTATGCTATTAATGACGAAAAAATGTGTAACCACAATGTGCAGATGGTGAGGGTGGTTCCAAAAGAGTCAAATAACTCTTGTGGCAGTAATTGACATATATTGGGTTAGACGAGTGCAGTACTTTTCTGTGATTTATCCGCCCAGCCAAACCACGGAGCAATGATGGAATGTGTAAATAGATCTCTACAAAGTGCCATTCTTGAGCTGGTGCAATTTAGTGTATAGGTATAGAGCTCACCCTGCTATTAAAAGAGAGAAATGTCCTGCAGTTTCTTTAGCCTGGTAAAGGTGTGAATTGAAGAGCACTCAGAGGGTATGGAAACTGATTGAACTTAATGAAAGGGAACTGTTTTCATATAGAACAGCAGGCTTTTTTCATCTATACTGTAGTTGTCTGAAATTGATTGTGCAGTGCAATGTGAAATTAATTAAATATTGTGTTATGTGGGTTTTTTATGCCAGGGAGTGCATTTTTTAAATATCTAATTTAATCCACCATTCCATCGATGTGTATTCTATCATTTCAAACCAGTCAGTGGAAGCTAAAAGTCTCCATTGTGAAACAACTGAGAAGATGTGGTTTTTGATAGTAGATTGTAGCGTAAGGTACCACTACTTCGTGCACTTTTTTCTCCCTTTTGTTGAGACATAGTTCGGTTCTTTTTTTGACAAACTATCTAGCAGCTATGGAGACATTTTCTGAACACAAGCATGAACACAAGCTTTTGTGATGTGAACACAAGATGAGAAAAAGCTGAAACCTGGTGTATATCCATCAAAGACCATGCTTTGTGTGCATTTCCATCTAAATGTAGCTTGTTTCTGCTTTTTGCTGTTTGATGGATTGTTTTGTATTTTGTATTGTTCCTTGCCTATAATAAACACACAATAATTGCAGGGCATTTTGAGTGGTGTATTATTACGACATCTCACTGTCTCCTACTGTGACTTCTTTTGTTCCTGACTCTCAAGCACCTCCGCCACCACCAGTCTACTAACCAGCCATCGAGGAAATGGTCTTCTCCAAAATGCTGCCATGAATCACGCAGATGGCTTCTGTATGAGCAACGGCGTCACAGAGAGCATCAATCAGAGGGCCGATGGCTTCATTTTGAAGTTACTTAGCATGTGCTGGCTTGCTTCAACATAAATTCATCATTGGAGGCCAACTGCACTGTCAACAAACAATATGAAATCCCCATGAGATTTATGATCACTGCAGATCTCATCAAACCTTCCTCATCTTGAAGAAATGATAATGCCTACACTGGTGTGTATATAACATTAATTACCAAAGCAAAGTTATGGATCTGAAAAGAGCTTAATGTACTTGAAATGACTTTGGAACATAAATTGGCAACTGCTATAACATGTCATGAGCTGTGTGAACATCCATACATTTTAATGCCACACATTATGTTTCAACCTACTACACTACACTACAACACTGAGAAGAGTGGTGTTCCTTCGGCAATCATACATTGCATTGTATATGTTTCTAAATCCCCATGGGCAAAAGTACGCGGACTGGACCTTCCAGATGAAGCGGCAATAAGATTTCTCTTGCATGACACTGGTGGAGATCATACAAACCCTCGAATGTCACCAGATATCAGACTACACAATATCAGGGGAATAGACGCAAGGCTTTTAAACAAAAGTGTGAATCAGAATTAGTTATACCTTTATTATATCGAGATAAATAGACCTGTATGTCAGAACTTTTGGCCACTCCGGTGGCAAGACCCTACAGTTATTGATGTCTGTCAGTCAGTGGTTCTATCACTTCAGTTCTGACAGTAATATCGAAGCTGTGATGGATTTCATTTTTTTCCAGACATCCATCAGAGGATGAATCGGTCTGTCTTTAGCTGAACCCCTGATATTTAATTTTGGACCAGCATGAGTTTGTCAACAAATGGATGGATGGATTTCAATTATTTGTGTCCCTTGTCCCCCTCATCATGAATTGTACTAACTGTTGGGGGTATATTGCTGTTCTATCTTGTTCAAAGAAAGCTTGGGTTGGTTATCCTGAAAAAAGCTAGCTAGAGCAGGCTACACTTTGGAAAAAAAACATAAAGATACATCCCACCCCCTCCCATTGGCCCTCTCATCAAAGTTACACCCTCGAAACAGATGAACAGGCACTACCTCAGAATCAAAATCAGAAGTACTTTATTAATCCCCGTAGGGAAATTCAAATGTTACAGAGCCCCTGAAAAAGAGGTGAAAACAGCAAAATCAGGTATAAACATAGCAACATAAAATTTAAAAATCAAGTAAGAAGAAATAAAAGATAGACATATGTAGAAATAAAGACAGGGAACAGATTTATATTTGTGCATGAGTAAAGTAAGTTAAAGTTAAAGTTAAAGTATACACAGTATACATTATTAATCTTTATACTTTACAGGTTGTCATTGTACAATTTGACAGCCACAGGCGGGAATGATTTCCTGTGGCGTTCTGTCGAGCAGCGTGGGTGGATGAGTCTGCCACTGAACGAGCTGAAGAGGCTAATCAAGACATTATACCTACAACCTGCGAGAGGCTTTTCCATGACACACTTTCCCCCAGGTGAAGACTCCGGTCATGAGCAGTGACACCACCAGCCTATCATTTGATCTGAATGAAGTCATTTGCTGTGTTTGGTTGTTTTTGGTACAGTCTTGTGAGGGCAACAGACACAGACCTTAAAAAAAATTAAATTCAGATGTAATTTATTGATAACAATCAGGACGAGAAGAGGATTTCAACAAATAAGATAAAAAGTGTTTCAAGAGGAAAAATACCAACTGTAACTTTAATACTTGGTTCAAGACCAAAAAAAGGAAAACAATGACAAAGACAATCATGTCAGCTGCAGGTAAACATTGTGATTCAAGATCATCAGCATGAATTAGATAGACACTTGTCGTTATCACTTTAGACTCCTTCTAGTCTTGCTCCTCTCACATAGA